TTTCTGAATTAACAAGTTAATTATCTCAGAATTACGAGATAACTCGTTAATTCAGAAAAACAGAGCAAAAAACTTTTTTCTCATGAAAAATTAACTTGTTAATTCAGGAAAACAGAGCAAAACTTTTTTTCTCATGAAAACTTAACTCGTTAATTAAAAAAAACAGCTAAAACTTTTTTCTCATGAAAAATTAACTCGTTCATTCAGAAAAACAGAGCAAAAACTTTTTTTCTCGTGAAAAATTAACTTGTTAATTCAGAAAAACAGAGCAAAAACTTTTTTCTCATGAAAAAGTAACTTGTTCATTCAGAAAAACAGAGCAAAAACTTTTTTCTAATGAAAAATTAACTTGTTAATTCAGAAAAACAGAGCAAAAACTTTTTTTCTCATGAAAAATTAACTCGTTAATTCAGAAAAACAGAGCAAAAACTTTTTTCTCATGAAAAATTAACTCGTTAATTAAAAAAAAACAGAGCAAAAACTTTTTTCGCATGAAAAATTAACTCGTTAATTCCGAAAAACAGAGCAAATTTTTTTTCTCATGAAAAATTAACTCGTTAATTCAGAAAAACAGAGCAAAAACTTTTTTTCTCATGAAAAATTAACTCGTTAATTCAGAAAAACAGAGCAAAAACTTTTTTTCTCGTGAAAAATTAACTTGTTAATTCAGAAAAACAGAGCAAAAACTTTTTTCTCATGAAAAATTAACTTGTTAATTCAGAAAAACAGAGCAAAAACTTTTTTTCTAATGAAAAATTAACTTGTTAATTCAGAAAAACAGAGCAAAAACTTTTTTCTCATGAAAAATTAACTCGTTAATTCAGAAAAACAGAGCAAAAACTTTGTTTCTCATGAAAAATCATCTCGTTAATTCAGAAAAACAGCAAAAACTTTTTTTCTCATGAAAAATTATCTCGTTAATTCAGAAAAACAGAGCAAAAACTTTTTCTCATGAAAAATTAACTCGTTAATTCAGAAAAACAGAGCAAAAACGTTTTTTCTCGTGAAAAATTAACTCGTTAACTCAGAAAAACAGAGCAAAAACTTTTTCTCATGAAAAATTAACTTGTTAATTCAGAAAAACAGCAAAACTCTTTTCTCATGAAAAATTAACTTGTTAATTCAGAAAAACAGCGCAAAAACTTTTTCTCATGAAAAATTAACTCGTTAATTCAGAAAAACAGAGCAAAAAATTTTTTCTCATGAAAAATTAACTCGTTAATTCAGAAACACAGAGCAAAAACTTTTTTCTCATGAAAAATTAACTTGTTAATTCAGAAAAACAGCGCAAAAACTTTTTCTCATGAAAAATTAACTCATTAATTCAGAAAAACAGAGCAAAAACTTTTTTCTCATGAAAAATTAACTCGTTAATTCAGAAACACAGAGCAAAAACTTTTTTCTCATGAAAAATTAACTCGTTAATTCAGAAACACAGAGCAAATTTTTTTTCTCATGAAAAATTCACTTGTTAATTAAAAAAACTAGAGCAAAACTTTTGTTTCTCATGAAAAATTATCTCGTCAATTCAGAAAAACAGAGCAAAAACTTTTTTTCTCATGAAAAATTAACTCGTTAAATCAGAAAAACAGAGCAAAAACTTTTTCTCATGAAAAATTAACTCGTTAATTCAGAAAGTAGATTTTTTTTTCTTCAAGTGAAAGCAATACGCCTCCGTAACATGGTTTGTTCAAAGTTTGATCAATACTTTATTTAGCAAGCAAAACTAGTGGCTTTTAAAACGAGGTGGCAAGCATCAGCCAGTAGATGGCGCTGTTGCTCTGAAAGCCTGTCATGAGTGTGTGTGAGGATAATCTGCTGCTGCTGCTGATGTAATCTAGTGTACACTCAACAGTGTGAGGAATGTGTGTGTCTGTCTTCATGAACTCTCTGTGGATCTGTTAACCCTCTTAACCTACATCTGACACCCCTGACCCACAGACGCCAGAGAGACTCCCCGACGTCCACTCGCTCAAATCATGTCTGCTACTAAACATCACACACCACATCTTCTCTCGAGTTATCCTGATGTTTCCTCTGAGAAAAACACACCAGTTATCTCAAGTTTCAGTTTAACTGACACTCAAACAAGCGTCAGAGATGTACTCAAACATTTCTCCTCAAAGTTGATTAAAAGTCAAAGCCGTCATGAAGGATCTGTGTGTGCTGTCGTATATATCCTCACAGCGTGACAGTCGCAGCGTGTGCAGAAACACACACAACTACACCGGGAAATTTATAGCAGTGGAGCCGGAATTCACCCAGAATACACTGGTGTAAACACACCACACACACACTGCAGACACAACAACACTCACAGGGGCCTGGTACACACACACACACTGAATAAATGACATTTTCCAATAGTTTTACGATAATAACCCTGTCTGACAGTCAGGATGCTCCACATGTAGGAGGCTCATGTAGGAGTGTAGTGGTGTGTCCTGGTTAACCCTACAGAAAATGTCCCCACAAAGATGGCAATATCCGAAATCCTTGTCCTTGTGGAGGCATTTTTTGGTCCCGATAACGAAAACAACCCATAAATCACACATAATTACTTTTTTTTTATGTAAAAATAACTTTAAGGAGTCAACAACTACATAATCTGTGGTGAGATTTTTTATTATTATTTTTTTTTAATTTTTATTATTTATTTATTTTTATTTATAATTTTTTGTGCGTGTGCATGTGTGCATATAATTATGTTTATCTTTTTATTTTCGTAATTAATATATTTTATTATTTTAATATTATTATATTTTTTTATTTTAATATTATTTTATTATTTCAATTATTATATATTACAATAATTATTGTTACTCTCTCTCAGACCAAAGATGAAGCTAATAAAAAATAAAAATAAATAAACACAAAAAATAAATATATGAAGAAATGTAAAAAAGTACATAAAAATACATAAATAAATACATAAATAAATATAAAAAAAAGGAAAAAAAAAAGAAATGTAAAAATGCAGAAAGTTTAGTGTGATGGGTATGTTTAGGGGTTGGGTTAGTGTGTGTGTGTGTGTGATGGGTAAGTTAGGGAGAAAAAAAATAAACAATTTGTGCAGTATTAAAACCATTACGCCAAGGGACAGTCCCCACAAAGATAGTGAACCAGACGTGTGTGTGTGTGTGTGTGTGTGTGTATTGCAGGACTGCTTGTATTTAGGACTCCTCTACGGCTTAACGATCTTCTACATTTCAAAGGCTTGTTTAGAAATCTGATCTGTGCATACCTTTACACACACACACACACACTAGCTGTTTTTAAATCACTCCTTCAGTGTGGCAGAGTAAACAAACGTTAGTTTGGCCTGTGTAACAGAGTACACACACACACACACACACAGCAGCAGACACACACTCTCATCTGTCTTACAACACAGACCATCCATCACAGCAGCGGAGTCGACATGTCTGACACACACACTCTCACTTTTCACACCACTAAACACACACACACACCTGAAGCAGCCAGGAGAAAACGCATCGATTCGATGCGCTGGATGATGATGTCATCGCGAGAGCAGCTTGGAGTCGCACACTAATATCTGTGACGCTCTGTATGTGTGTGTGTGATAAAACGTCCTGCAGTGTTTGAATGGTTCTTCAAATCATGCGTGTTGTTGGGAGAGTTTGTGATGTTACTTTCCGAACTGATCAGACGCTCCATTTTCACCTGCTGGACCAGAGATCCGCACCATAGCAACTGAATATAGCATAGCAACCATACAAAAACACCCTGGCAACCAACAACAACAACATTCTAAAGCCTTTTGAACTGGCAAACGCCACTCAGCCTATCAAGCCTTGGTTGTGATTGGCTGATACAAAGCAGGAAGTGACATCATTAATAATCATCAATGTGAACAAATTCAAACAGGACATAGAGAGAGAGAGAGAGAGTAAAAGACATTAAACGTTCATAATTTCTGTTATTCTTATTCTTCCTATTTTTATTTTCCTATTTTAACATTACAGTTTTGATACAAATCAATATAATTTCAATGATCTTATTTAATTTTGTTTATTTTATTTTACACGATTTACACTATTCCTTTAGTTTATTTGTTAATGTTGCTAATTTGTGGTTTTAATTTTTTTTTTATTTGGTTATTCATCAATTTATTTGTTAACAAATCTACAACATTTCCACTAATTGTCATCTTATCATAAATGTATTTATATTTTATTTATACATTTATTTATAATATTTTAATCATAACCTTATTCTTATCACCATTTTGAATTTCTAATGACATTTTTAATAAAAATCTCATTTTAATTTTAATGAATGTTTTAATGAATGCTAATAAAATGTACTTTTTAATAAATCCACAACTACATTTGTACTACTGCTATTATTATTATTTACTATATCCTCATTCTACTCTTCATGTTTTATTTTTTGATAAAAATCTCATTTGAATTTTAAATAAAAAATGTAATTCATATATTTTTATTTTTTCTAATTGAGTTTATTTTCTTTAATCTATGTTAATATTGTTTGTTCACTATAGTTACATAAAAAAAGCGCTAAAAATGCTCGGGCGATACAAATGTACAGTTTTCGTCGTGCCAATGAAGCGCAAATGAATTTATCAGAATGGAAAAGCAAACTACTGCACTATTATCCTCGTCCGAGCGGGTGTTGAAGGCACTGGCTGTGTTTTGGCAGTGTGGATGCGGGCGGCGCAGGATTTCACAGCTCATTACACTGGCTCCAGCGCGCTGTCCCCCCCCGAGCAGCAGCAGGTAGACCTCAGTGTCTCTCTGCAGGCCCTAGTGGCCCGTCTGTCTGCCTGGATGTGTCATATCTGCAGGATTACGGGCCGCACAATAGCACTGCATCTCCGCGCTCCAAAGACAGTGGATGTTTACAGGAACTAACGAGCACCGGAGAGAAAGAGAGGGGCGAGTTAGGCCCCGTCTGCAGACCGTCTTAAAGGGACAGTACACTCAAAAATCAAAAGTCTGACATCATTTACTCACCCTCATGTAGTCCCGAACCTGTACGACTTCCTGTAAAACACAAAAGGAGATTTTTTTAACAGGAATGCCCAAGAAATTTTTTTCTTTTTTACGCAATAAATGGGTACTGGGGCTGCCGAGGTCCAAAAAGAACAAAAAACACAGAACGGATTAAAATCAGGGTTATTAAAGGGTTAAAATCACAGTAAATTGTCATAAACTAACATTACACCTTATTGTTAATTGAAAAAAAGCTGAAAAAAGGGGAAAAAACGTCAAAAAGGGATAAAATAAGGGATGTTGTTGTTAACCATGATTAAACTAATAAAATCATTATTGTTAATTGAAATACAGCTGAAATAAAATAAAAAGCTCCAAAAAGAAAAAAAAAACACAGAAGGGATAAAATAAGGGTTATTAAAGGGTTAAAATCTGGATAATTATCATTAACTAACATTAAACCTTATTGTTTAATAATGAAGCTGAAATAAAATAAAAAGCTCCAAAAAGATGAAAAAAAGGGTTAAAATCAGGGTTAACAACATTATTGTTAATTGGAATAAATACTATTGGATGAAAAACTTGCCAAAAACTATTTAAACTTTAATGAAAATTTGAAAAGTTGCTTTAATTGGCAACTATCGGAAATTATCTAATTTTGAAGCACTGAAATAACAAATGGGAAATAAATTGTTATAAAACTAAATTTGAACAAAAAAAAAAGTAAAACTCGTTAAAAATAAAAAATAAAAGAAACTCGTCCTGTCTCTGGTTTCGCCTATTAAGAGACTGTCGTCCACCGCGATCGCTTGTCTGCGTAAAAAAGTCGAACTTCAATGAAAATTCAACTAAAAATACAGATGTGCTGCGAAACAATTTTGCTCTGCTGAACTGTCGCTCTATCTCGGACAAGGGCCTTTCTCCAAATGAGCTTATTACAGACACAAACCTGGATATGATGATTCAACCCGATCTCACGAGAATTCGTAACGAATTTTACGAGGTGGCTAATTCGCAATAATTCGTACGACCTCACTCGTACGAATTAGTATGTTTTTGCTAAATCGCACATATTTTACGAATTAGCCAATTCGTTTGAATTCGTTCGAATGACCTACCCCTGACCCCGCCCCTAAACCTACCCATCACGTGGGTTTGGACAAATCGTACGAATTCGTACGAGTGAGGTCGTATGAATTAGTACGAATTAGACACTTTTTAATCACTCGTACGAATTCGTACGAATTGGTCGTGAGATAGCGTAGGATGATTTTACTGAGACCTGGCAAACACCCAATGATTTCATGCATCTCAATCTGCGGATACCAGCAGACTATCTCAACCCCATAACACTTGCTCAACGGGACTTCCATAATATCAGGACTTGAAAGTTTCCTTTTTCATCAATCATCCTTATTTATAGACCACCCAAACAGAAAAAGGATATTTTCTCCGAACTTAGTGAACAACTAAGACTAGCCTAGCCTGTGCTTCATCATCCAAGGTCATCTTGCTTGGTGACTTTAACATCCAGGGGTGCGTTTCCCGAAAGCATCGTTAACCAACTATGGTCGCAATTTCCATTGAACTCTATTGGTAACGACGGAACTTGCGACCAGTTGGCTAACGATGCTTTCGGGAAACGCACCTCAGGTCGACGCTCCCTGTTCTAATAGCACTCAATTAAAGACTGTTCTGGACTGCTTCGAACTTTATCCGAATGTTACACTCTCACGGCCACACACTTAACTTAGTTTGTACATCTGGTTTGAATGATATCTCCAGCAATGGTCTAGTTACTCCCATCTCTGATCATACGCTTATGACACTTAATTTTACATTAATTAAATGTATTGACAATACTACCATCTCTTATCGTAAGATCAATGCTATAGAGTGCCGAAATTATGACGTCACTTTGTACACTCTTAGAAGAAATGGTTCTATTTAGAACCAGAAATGGTTCCATCCCCCGCTTCATATATGGAACTCCAAATTGGTTCTATATAGAACCATTTTTTTTTTTTTTTTGGTAAAAGGTTCTATTGGCCAAGTATGGAACCCCAGTGTTCTATATAGAACCCAGAGGAACCCTTTTTTTAAAAGTGTATAGAATATTTTAGGGCTTCCAAATACGTAGCGCTGATAGAACCTTTTAATGTTCTATATAGAACCTTTTCTTCTCAGGCCGTGTGTCCACCAAAGCATTGTTAGCCAGCTGAAAACGCTATACGCTCTGCTGAAGACGCCGTGCTTTGGGCGCTTGAGAGCGTTTTGGCAGCGTAGCGTTTTTTCCGTTGAGGCGTTTCGTTGCTATGATACAGAATATCCGCAGCAGTTGAATGTTGTGACAGTTGGTCGGTGTGGTATTAGTCCCGCCCCTCCTCCACTGTGATTGGACGGCTGGGTAAAAAGTGACAGTGATGAGCGCTACGTTTTATCCAAAGTTGAACATTTTTCAACTCCCAGCGACCAGTAAAAACACCGGGCGCTCGGCGCTTCACCGTGAAAAAAAAAACGCTCAGCGCCTCGTCACGCTCATGGCGTTTAAAAAGCGCGGCGCTCCCATTGAAAACAATTGAAAACATACGCCAGGCGCGTGGAAAAACGCTAAGAGTGTAGGCCAAAACGGGAAAGTGAGTTAGCATTTTAGCACTTGCATGTGCTAAAATAACACTTATGTCATTGGAGTTTGAATAATGATGATGAGTTGTTTTTGAGTGACTATTCCTTTAAGAGACAGTAGAGCCTATGTACAAGTGTGTGTGTCAGGAGACTGTTGATTAGGAAGGTCTTTTGACTGCGGTTCTTCAGAAGAAAAGGTAATACAAACAGAAATGGGGGAAGTGTGTGTGTGTGTGTTGCTTGTTGTTAATTTGCTCCATGCCGATCAGTCAAACAGGAACCCCAGCCGAGCAAATCTCGTTTTCATGACTGTCAGCAAGAGCTCAAGCAGAGACGCGGAGATGCAGGGAGACCCGGAGAGAGAAGAGAGGCGCCAAATAGTAATTAAAGCCGTGTAGATTAAGTTTACAGAAGTGTGATGCTTTAACTCGCTTTATTACCCCCTACAGGGGTGTAAAAAAGCCTTCCCTGTGTGTGTGTGTGTGTGTGTGTGTGTGTGAAAGCCAACATTGAGTGTCTCGCTTCTGCATCTGTTTTTAAGGCCGGCTCGCACCTCAGGTATTGGGTCCGGGAACGACCCCTCACACCTCTCCGATAATTGGACGGGTCTCGTCTTTTCCACCGCGTGCTTGTTCTGTAGCTTCTCCTGCTGATATAACACACACACACACACACCAAAGCTTCATTTTATCTGCCGGCGGTAATACACAACAACACTATTTTGGCATCAGAGATGTTAGTCGTGTACTAGACTAGAGAATATTAACAGGCACCAACGATACAGTTTCCTAAATCATTTGTTAGCAAACAATTACGTTAATGAGCTCATTGTCTCTGTCCTACATTATTACATTGTTTAAGTTAAAACTGTGTGATTTGTACTTGTACATTTCTGAAATGCTTAACTCAGACAGTTACAACTGATTACAGATCACTCTAAATTGTAATGTGGACTCTCGCATTTTCTATAAATGAATAAATAAAAGCTCTATATAAATAAATGTGACTGAAATGACTGAATGAATGCAATTAATGTGACCATAAAATATAATATATTCGGGCCTTGATTAATTGACATTTGGTCCGATTAAGCTATTTCAGGGGCAAATTCTCAAAATTCATCAACAAACTCGTTTCTTTTAACGTTTTTATTATTCTCGTGTTGATTCTCATCACTATTTTCATGCAAATTACAATTTCTCTCTTTTGATTTTGAGGGGTTTTGATGTACGTCACTAATGAGAAGCTTTATATTCTCTAGAAAACCGTCTGATCTAGTGGTGGCGCTCTTCTGTCGATTTTGACTAAAAAAAATTTACGTTTTGTTTACATTTTTTTAGTTCATCAAAATGGTACGAAACTTGGTACAGGTTTTGGCACTTGCTGTCACACACGAAAAATTATGGACATGATTCAAACAGGTTAAATGGTCGAATTTCATCTAGTGGAAGCGTTCGGTACTGCGGCCAAACTACGTCTGACTGAAAGCTCATTTTTTTGAGATATCAAGCTCAAATTTGGAACACTTGTTAACTTGTTTTATTAATTTGAGCCTGATATCTCGACATAGTAACTTGTTGACAAGTTTATTTAACTTGTTTTTATTTTTATCGGTTTTAGAGTAAAACGTGTTTTTGAAAATATATATTTCATTTAAAAATCTAAAATAGTATTTTTACATGTAAAATTCTGTAAGTCCACTTTTTAAAACTTGTTTCGCTTCAGCAATAATCTGCCAAGTGTCGTCTTTGAAAAAGAGATCAAACTTTAGTCTGTGCTCTAAAGCATTCAAGGTTTACGACATGTCTATCCTCAAAAAGTTAATAAATGGATTATAAATACAGCGTAAATATAATTTATTATAAAAAAATCCCCTAAAAATACATTAATTTAATTGAAATTTTTTATAATTATAATTATTATTTTTAATAATATTTATATAATTATTTAATATAATTATTTAATAATATACAAATAATTATTATAATATTTATTATTATAATTATTATATTTTAATTAATATAATAATTAAATATATCATTTTTTTTAATAATTTTTTATATTGCTTAAAACCTGAAGATAAGTCAACAAACTGGTGGGACGTGAACCTCGGCCGCTGTCTGTAATGAGGGCGTATCCCGGATATCGGGGTGCAAATGAGAAATGTCCCTGTGAAGACCCTTCTACCCCCGTCCCGTCGCAGTGTGGACTGATCAAACACAGCAGAGCGGTGAGACTAACGCAGTCACAGGGGGCGGAGACACACTCCCTTTAATTGGATAGACACTCAATTAATTTTTCTCCCACAGAGTATCCATTTAGAATACACACCAGAACTCCACAGTTGCTATAGTTACGACTGTAAAACCAGTTGATCTTCAGACTTAGATTCTTTTTGGAATGTTCAGTGTGAACGCACTACTCTATTTATATACGCACACACTCTTTAGGGTACATGAATTTGGGATGCACCTCATGTTATTTGGTTTTATTTCTTTATTGATGGCAGATGCAAACATTATGTTAATACTAACAACTGCATGGAAAATATGGTAACCATGGTCATGCTTTTATTAGGGGCCCTGAAAAACACACATCTAATCAGATCAGAGGGACTGTTACACATTTACGGGGCTGCACACAGCTACAATTTGATAAGAGCCACTAGATGGCACAGAATTCCAGATGTACTAAATAGAGTGTATGTGTGTGTGTTTGTGTGGCCAGTGTAATTCCTATGTTATGGGGACAAAATGTCTCTAGAAAGATGGCAAAATTTGAAATCCTTATTGAGATGTTTTTTGGTCCAAATGAGGAAAGCAGCTTTTTAATCACATACTAAATGTAAAAATTGCAGAAAGTTTTGTGTGATGGTCGGTTCAAGGGTCGGGCTAGTGTAGGAGGACAAAACATACAGTTTGTACAGTATAAAAATCATGGAAAGTCCCCATAAAACATGATACCACATCATGTATGTGTGTGTGTGTTACGGGGGGATGGAGTGATGGACAGCTCACACGCCAGCCATTATAGTGAGGTGCTGCCAGCACCATCACCATGGCAACAGGCCAGGGGCCCGACAGAACAAAGAAGCAGGTTCCCAGTGTGTGTGTGAAAGACTAACGGCCTCCAGCGCTCATATTTACATGTGACGCTGAAGGGTTAATTGCTGTGAATTCCTGAGCTGCGTGTGAACTCTGCACGAGTGTGTGTCGTCTTTGATTTTACGTCGCAAAAACTTGCAGATGTTCAGCGTATGAACGCATCTATTTAGATATCTATTAAATATCTCAATCCACTTGAGCTCTGGATGAACAAAAAAAAAACTCCTCTAGAGTTTCAGAAGAGATCTCAACGACGTCTGAGACGGTGCTCACATTTGCCAAGATGTCAGAGATCTTAATATGAACAAAACAGATGATTTGAGCTGGATGAGAACTAGTGAATCATTGGAGTTGACACTGCTGTTTAAAGGGATGGGGTCTGGAAGATTTCTCTCTTTATTTCTTTTTAAAGAAATTAACACTTTCATTCGGCAAGAATTAGGGCTGGGTGATATGACCAAAATCTTACATCATGATATGAATCATTTAATTTCATGATAACGATATATATCACGATATAGTTATTTTTGCTTTAAATAAAGTTTTCATAATATAAAAAGTGAATTGAAATTTCATAAATCTCATCACCAATTTCACAACTGGAACGAAAACGAATACTTATGGAAGCTTGTTTCCACCACAGAATAAAACAATAACAAAGATAATTAGGACTTTTTATCTCAGAATTGCGTATAAAGTCAAAATTGTGAGAAATAAACTGAATTTAATTGCATGTTTATATGTTGTAGTTCTAACTTTATAACACACAATTGGGAGATATAAAATCAGAATTGTAAGTAATATACTTGCAATTCAGAGGAAAATAGTCAGTTTCCTTAGAATTGGACTTTTTAATTGGCAATTGCGAGTTTAAATCTCACAATTCTGAGAAAATATGTCAAAATTGCGAGATATAAACAGCAATTGCATGTTTTAAAGTCAGAATTGCGAGATATAAACTAGCATTTGCATGTTTTAAAATCAAAATTGCGAGATATAAACTAGCAATTGCGTGTTTTAAAGTCAGAATTGCGAGATATAAACTATCAATTGCGTGTTTTAAAGTCAGAATTGCGAGATATAAACAAGCAATTGCGTGTTTTAAAGTCAGAATTGCGAGATATAAACTATCAATTGCGTGTTTTAAAGTCAGAATTGCGAGATATAAACAAGCAATTGCGTGTTTTAAAGTCAGAATTGCGAGATATAAACTATCAATTGCGTGTTTTAAAGTCAGAATTGCGAGATATAAATTAACAATTGCGTGTTTTAAAGTCAGAATTGCGAGATATAAATTAACAATTGCGTGTTTTAAAGTCAGAATTGCGAGATATAAACAAGCAATTGCGTGTTTTAAAGTCAGAATTGCGAGATATAAACTAGCAATTGCGTGTTTTAAAGTCAGAATTGCGAGATATAAACAAGCAATTGCGTGTTTTAAAGTCAGAATTGCGAGATATAAACTAGCAATTGCGTGTTATAAAGTCAGAATTAGAGCCCGACCGATAAAGAATTTTGAAGGCCGATACCGATACAAATATTTTTGGGTTTTAAAATCCGATATTCCGATATATCGGCCGATATTTAAAAAAAAATATTGTTGGATTTCACACACGTGTAAAAGAAAAGCTAACTTTTCTGCTCAAGATACGTTTGATACTTTTTCTCTATGTCTAAATGTTCACTCCTGGCAAGTATAACTTACATTTTACAATGCAGGGACGGTAACTAGAGATATGCTAGTTATAAATACAGTAATCATTACTTTATTTAGGCAGAAAAAGTTCATTGTGGTTTCCAAGCTCATTAATGTTAACGTTAGCGGTCTTCCACTGATGATAGTGGCATTAGCTAGCTTTGTGGTTAGCTAGTCTATGATGAGCCATAATTTAGCAATATATAACATCATACTGCAAATTGTAAAACATACATTTTAAATATAACAGGCCAAGGAGAGATGATTGAAGCGTGTTTCGTCTGTTTTTATTTTATTTTTTAAATATTCATTTATCGGCCATTATAACTGCCGATACCGATATTTTGGAAAATGCCTAATATCGGCCGGCCGATATATCAGTCTGGCTCTAGTCAGAATTGTGATATATAAACTAGCAATTGCGTTTTATAAAGTCAGAATTGCGAGATATAAACTAGCAATTGTGAGCTAAAAAGTCGCAATTATCTTTTAAAATATTTTATTCTGTGGCAGAAACAAACTAGCTTCCCTAAATACTAGCCAAACTAAATTAAAAAATTGTTTAAAAAAATTCAAGCTCACTGAAGAAGTAAACAGTCGATGATAAATTAAGAACAAAGAAAATAATTACATGCACTAGAAATAAAAAATTACAATAGAATAAAGCAGGACACGAAACGAAACGAGCGAACAGTATTTATATTGTTTTTAACACTTGTAATGACAGCCACAAAGCGCCCGCGTCCTCAGATCACTTGGACGTGACTGTGGTTACAAGAGGTAAAAACGATATGGTTCTATTTAGAACCAGAAATGGTTCTATTTAGAACCAGAAATGGTTCCATCCCCCGCTTCATATATGGAACTACAAATTTTTTATTTTTTTTGTAAAAGGTTCTATTGGCCAAGTATGGAACCCCAGGGTTATATATAGAACCCAGAGGAACCCTTTTTTTAGAGTGTATAGA